CTCTTGGGTGGCCAGGTACATTGTCAGTAAATAGTAATATCTGAAAGGAATTTTTTTCTGGGGGTATGTCTGAACAGCGTGTTTAAAATACGCAGGAAAACATGTCATGGTAGATAAACAACTAATGGTCAACTTGTAACCGCAGGTGAACTGAATCAGCATGGTGCTGGGTGTGTGAGGCCCACCTGAGTCTTGTTGCCGACAGCATAAAAGCAGAACTGGAAGGGGAAGATGAGGTGCTATTGGTTCTCCTGGAGAAACCCATCATGCTGGCTTTCCTGATATGAACTCTGCTGTTCTCATCACTGAAGGAACTCGGGTCCTTGCTGTCACTGAGGATGGCTGTGGTTCTTTTCAAGGGAGCTGGTCCTTACCTTGAGTATCGCTTTCCGGCTCCAGTGCAGATCTTCAGCCTGCTGGCACAGAGCCTTCATCCTGCTGATGCAGACTTTCTAGATTCTGCCTCTGCCCTTTGGGCCTTCCCAGTGCAGATCCTTGATACAAACTTGCATGAGACATTGTCATGGGCTCTAGGTCTTCAGCTGGACTCATGCAGGATAATGCCGTGGGATCCAGGCCCTCTGCTGGATTTTTTGGGTCTCTAGTACATGGACAGATTTCCTGCATTCTTTGGCATTTGACTCTTTGGGTGATTATAAAATAATCCTATAAATTATGTGTCCCATATTAAATTGTTTCCCTTGTGAACCCTGATTACAACACATGTTATGAACAGATGTGCTGTTGCCCGGGCTTTGTTGCTTATAGAGCATGTATACAGCACATGCAGAATGGGTTTAGCATAATTCTTAAGCACTCTAGATCTCTGGAATGGCAAATGAGCATTGGCCTCCATTCACCAGCCCTATTAACTCCTAAGAAGAGAGTCCGCCTGGCCATCTCCTCTTTCACTGTGAAAGTTCTAGACAGCCCCTGCTTCTAACAGAATGCCGTTCCTTCTCACGGAAAACCTGCGGTAGCGGAGCCTCCCTAGCTTAGCCTCTTCCAGATAACCTCCTGCAGCCTCTCCATCAGCACTGGGCTTCGCCTTGCATTTCTGTGTTATGGGCACAGCTTCTTTTCTTAAATCCCATGAACTAACCCTTGCTCGGTTCAAACTTTTCTTCTGCAGCTTCCTCACCTCTTTACAGAATTGAAGAGAGTTAGGCCTTGGTCTGGATTACGCTCTGGTTTCAGGGAATTTTGTGGCTGGCTTGACCTTCTGTCCATCCCACTGACGCATTCTCTACATCAGCAATAAGACTGTTTCATTTCCCTACATGCCTGCGTTCGCTGGAGCTGTACTTTCGGCTTCCTTTAAGAACCTTCTGTTTGCATTCACAGCTTGGCTAACTGCTTGGCACAGAAGGTCTGGCCTTCAGCCTGTCTTGGCTTTCCACCGTCCTTCCTGACTCAGCTTTGCATTGCTGGCTTTAGGTTTAAAGGGAGAGATATGACTCTTCAATTCAGGCCACGGTAGGGTTATTATTGGCCTAATTTCAATTTTGTGTCTCAGGGCATTCAGAGGCCTGAGGAGAGGGAGTCTGGTTGGTGCAGCAATCAAAACACACAGGGTTTGTTAACTACATTTGCTGTCTCAGATGGGTGTGACTCATGGCACCCCAAGGCGAGATAACAGTAACATCGAAGGTTGCAGATCACAGATGTAGTAATAATGAAAAAGCTTGAAAGTTTGAGCGAATTGCCAAAATGTGCCCCCTCTGTGATGGAAGTGACCACTGGCTGTTGGAAAGATGGTATCTACACACTTGCCAAAATCTTCAACTTGTAAAAAAAAGTGCAACATTTGTAGAGCACAGTAAACTGGCGCACAATAAAACATGGTATGTTTGTACCGTATGTGAATCCACTTAACACTGGCTTATAGCCACCGCACCTCTCTGAAGTGTGGACTCAGGCAGTGACAGTACAGGGGCACCTGTCAGTCATCCCCCAACGCAGCATGTGTTTCTCTGGCCGGGAATGCTCTTCCCTATGCCTCCCGCCAAGCCAACCCCTATGTGTTGGCTCAATGCTCTGAATTGGGAACTGGGCTTAAATTCATTCACAACCTCTTCAAAGAAGCCTTCCCCCAGCTCCTAAATCAGGTCCCCTGTTCTGTACTCTTAACAGCATTATGTGCCTCTCCTTCCACAAGCCAGCATGGCAGCCACTTCCGTTTGATTTAAGATTGATTAAAGCCTTAATTCCCATGTGACTATGGGCTCCACCAAGGCAGAGCTGCACTGGACACCGCTGCCTCTCAGAGCCTGGCTCACTGCAGGATTCCACAAATACTCGATGGGTGAATGAACCAAGGCACAACTGGGAACCTGTCCGGGCCGCTTAGTTCATCTCCTTGGGCCTTCAGTCTTTCCTGGAAAATGAGAGGGCTGCACTCACTGCATGGTTGCTAGGTTGTTACGAGCTGCCGGAAGCACAGTGAGAATCGCTAGGCTGAGAGGCTCCAGAACGAAATAACTGGAAGTGGTATAGGTAACTCCCCATTAGGTACCAGCCAGTGAGGCTGATGGGCAGCCCCAGGGAACATCACCCCAGTGTCTGCTGGTGGAGTCTCCAAAAGGCCCTTGCCTTGAGCTGCTCACTAACACGGAAAGCTAACCACGCCCAACTCCGCTCTTTGGACTGCGGTCTTCCACGGGGAGGAGCAAAAGGATCAACGTCTAGATCGCAGATAACTGGAAAACAACTAGTGTCTTAATTCTCAGGTTGTTTTGAAGGTGAAATTTGATCCCCTTAGTCAGGTACAGGAATAGAGCTGGGCCCTGGGAGGCAACCAGGAATACACTCAGTCATCAGGGTGGAGGCCCCGTGAGGGAGTACTGGTAGCTTTGTACAAAGAGCGGGAGAGGGCAGAGACTCCTGTTTGCTTCTGCCAAGCGATGTCTGCATTGCCTTGGGTGTCTGCCAGCAAGAAGGCTGTCACCAGATGTGACCCTCAACCTTGGACCCCCAGAAGTGTGAGCCCAAATAATCTTTTTGTTGTGCCCTTCGTAACAGAAAATGGACGAAGACAACCAGTACTGAGGACTTGCTCTGTATCTGCTCCGAGGATTCAGACTAACAAGGCACTGTCCCTGCCTTCCCAGGTCTGCTAGGGCAGAGACAGGGAAACAGTGTTTGGGCAGCTAACTGGAACATGGTGGGGGGCTCAGGTGTTCTGGATCTTAAATTGTGCCAGGATGCAGCACTTAGCAGCCTTAAACATTTTAAGATAGCCGAGCCATGGAAAATGGTTTTTTTGACATTTCACGGATTTTACATTTTCCCTGAAGCCATTCTTAATCATCAAGAGCTGGAAATTGTTGTAAGAAATTGGGAGGCCGTGAAGGTATTGGCTGGAGTTTTGGAGTCAAATTTAGACACTGGGTCAGTGATCCTGGTGAGTTACTTCGGGTTTCTGAGACTTTACTTAAAACAAATAAGGAGAGAGTCTGCATATGTGGGTTGGTGACAAAGCCACTTCTTGCCCTCTGAACACTTCCAATTTCTATACGCACAGCTGTCATTAAACAGTCTGCCCAGGTCAGCTTTGGAACTTTTGTACAGGTCTGCTTTCCTTAGATCTAGGTAGGAGCTGTGTCATGAGCCTTCTGGAATATTTATACAGACTAGCACAGTGCCTGATGCAAAGAGTGCACTCCAGGGTTACAGCTGAATGAGGAAGTTATGTTAATTTCTCCTCTTCAACGTGGCAAGAAGTGACTGGGTCTTGTTTGCAGGGCCTCGGCCATGGCGTGGTACCACCACTTGAGATGACAGGTGGACTCCAGGCTCCACCTGCTGCTGATTGGGGAACCCAGGGCAAGTCACTGATTTTCTCTGAGTCTCAGTTTTTCCTTCTATAAAATGGGGACAAGCTGTACCTAACTCAAAGAATGGTTGTGAAATGTACTGGATTTAGGAGAACACTAAGCACATAGTATATAATAATAAATTAATAAATAGAAACTCTTAGTAGCAGTAGCAATGGGACATTCCATTTGATCAAAACAGAGGCATGTTGTCTGACAATGCTTTGCATGAGTAGGTGAAAGCACTTTTTGGAGGTGAAAGTTTTATTTTTCAGCTTTTTACTAGGACAGGTCTCTCAGTGATGGCTTAATAATTATTTAGACTCTGAGACTGAATCAAGACAGCACCATAAGTGCTGAGGATTTCCTATCTTTGTGTCTAACCTCAAGGCTGACTGAGTCACACACCATTATAAGCCAGAAAATCTTAAAGAGCAGGGACTGGCCAGGTGAGATGCTTCCTCCTATAGAGGAAATCCAATCCTAGAGGTCCTCGCAGCTGCTTGACCATGTCCCCTTACCCCTTTGCAACATAAAACACCTTTTATAAAGTTAGAACCAGGGATTATTTTCAGGAAGATGATGTGTGTAACAGTGCTGCTTTGCTACAGACTCCTAAACATATGTGTTGTGGGGGGGGCGCATTTTGGAGTGTTTATGGATTTCTTTTTTGGTAGGGAGGTACTGGGAATCGAACGCAGGACCAGGCGCTGCACTGTACTGCTAAGGTATATCCCTTGCCCTTTATGGATTTCAAGAGACCCATATACTTGGTTCATAAAAGCTGTGAAATAATTTAGGGGGCCTTTCCCCTCTCTCAGTTGAAAGGCCGAGGGATCTGGTTAGGATTTAGGAGAGCTTTCACATCTCACCACCAGCACCACTGACAGTCCTGATCTCAGAATGGTGGGTCTCCAGAGTCAGAAAGTGTAGGGGTGTCTGATGGTGCAGGTGCTGAAGAGATCTCAGCATCTAGGTTAGGAACGTTTCTCAGCTCATACTTGGCAGCATGGAACGTAAACATAAAACGGGTGCCTGGATGTTCCTAGACTTGGGAGGATACAGCCAGTTCCTACATCTCTGAATTGTCTAATTTTTTTTCTCTCTTTTTGAGACAGGGTCTTGCTATGCAGTTCAGGCTGGCCTTGAGCTCATTTTATAGCCCAGGTTGGTCTCTAACTCACAATGATCCTCCTGCCTCAGCCTCCGGAGTGCTGGGATTACAGGTATGTGCTACCACACCCGCTCTGATGTTAACTCAAAAGTCAACCTCAAAAACCCTGGAGTGGAGGGTGGCCTGCAGAATGGGGAGTTTCCGCCGGTCAGAATGAGGAGTTTCTGCCGGTCAGAATGGGAAGTGGAGACAGTGGTGAGGGCGAGGGCCCTGGAGCCCCGCTGAAGCTATCTGAGTAGGTCCTTGGTTTCTGAGTCTTACCTTCTGAGTTTATACAAATACAGAGAGTTGCCTGGCTTGGAGAACTAGATCAGACTGTGGGCAGCCGGAGCAGCCGGTTCAGTCTCTGCTCCTCAGGAGACCTCCACCCCTCTCCTCTACTTCCCAGTGGCTCTCCCTGGGGCTTTGGCACTGCTTCCTGATTTTGTTTCCTGGGACTTCAGCATGGATCAGGCACAGGCGCAGCCCACCCAGACAGTACCCTCAACAGGTGGCACTTTGTAGCATGGCAGAAGGACGGGGACAGGTAGACTCAGGGGCCCCGGGGAACTGCAACCTGCAGACAACTTCCCATGTCAGTGTGGGCACTATCAAGCGCCATCTGAGCTCACCCTGGGATACTGAGTCTTAGATTCAAGATCAACAAACACAATTAGTTTAGAACAGCTCGGTTTGCTTTTAGCTGTTCTTGTTTTCACTTACTGAATCCAAACTCTACTTTCTTGCCACCCCAAATTTCTTTTGGTTCTCGCCTGTGCTATCCCTTGGCCCGTACTGTTTTTATTGAGCATTTCTTCTCTGTACTCAGCCAACTCCTTCCTAGGAGCCAGCCCCATAGTCAGACAGCCCCTCCTGTGGGAAGCCCCAGGGATGCCGGCCTGGTGTCCCCGTGTGAGCACACACACACACAGCTGTGCCCGGCTCTACTGCAACTGCGGGTTACACTGGCTTGCGGAGCTGAGTCCACTCTCCTCCTCCCCGCTTGGCCCGAATGAGCTCCATGCAAAGGAGGACCGTGTCACCTATCTCTGTCTCATTGTCTCCGGGGCCAAGCGTAATGGCTGGCACTCAGTAGGGACTCTGAATGGAAGAGAACTAAGTTTTCCTACTCTAGGGCAGAAAGGAGAAAGCCATAGAAAGAGAAGACATATCAGGGATGGGAGAACATCAGAGACAAGCTAGCAGCACTTAGGCAGACGAAAGAAATCACTCCACTGCAACAAGGAGTGGGGGACGGACTGGTAAGTGTTTCAAGAAGGCAAATGGCCAGAGAGGAAGAAACTGCGGCAGCCAGATGGAGTGGGTGGCTGAGCTTCTGGTAACTTTAGAGCTCTTCTAGCGCCTCCTATCAACAGCCTGCACCCCTGGGCCGCCTTGTACCGGGAGCAGCTACTCGGGAAGATGCAAGGGCATTCTGGGCTTGGCAGTTCATCCAGCTGCTCCTTCCCCGCTCGATGGAATTGGCTAAACCGAGGCTGCTAGAGGACTTCGCGTATTTTCCAGGTGCCCCATTTTATTACCAGATAAATGAATTAGGGAGTAACATAGCCAGCTGAAGTTGTCAGAGTTCATTAACAGATATGATGACTTTCAGAGCTCCCTTTAGGACCTTATAAATCATTCTGGAGGTTCTTACCTTTATCTCATTATTTGAAAAGGTAACTTGAGAGGCCGCTTCCCTGCTCTTAAAGTGACCTCTAGAGAAGTCCACCTGGACCGATAGATCATGCCAGATTCCAAACTGCACTTACAGTCTGCCAGCAAAGCAGCACCCCGTGGCCCTTTCTCTATTCATCCCCAAGCCGGCTGCCTGAGGGGGCCTTGGGAAGCCACACACCAAGGGCTTCAGAGGCCTGTCCCATTGTGTGGATGACACAGCCATTAGTAACCATGGCAACTTCCCTTCCTGGCTGTGGCACTTCACAGGTCTAAATGTGCACAGGACTCTTCCAGATTTGGGGAGCCAAGCAGAGCGGCGCCTGGCTTGAGCCACAAACCAAGGCAAATATGAGGAAGCACTTTCAGGTGAAAAGAAACAGTCTCAAATTTCTGAGTCAGTAAACTTGCATACTTACGCTTAGGAAGATGCAAAAAGAAAAGAAAATGACATCTCCTTTTGCTCCTTGTTTTTTACAGCAGTGAACACAAAGCATGTGGAGGATGTGTTGTTGTTCTAACAGTTGTGACGGGACTCCACAAGGACGGCCCCAAAGGCCAGGGGAGGTAATGTAACATAAAACCCTCCAGGATGGTCTCTCAGTCCTGAAGGCAGCTCCAAGAGTCACCTTGCTGCTAATGCCCACACAGCGACAGCAGCAGGGCTGTCTCCCTCAGCGAGCTTGGGAAATAAGGACAGGGGGCTATTGGCCTTTATTTTCTTCCCTTTTTCAGAGAACCCTGAAAAAGACTCCTCTGCCACAAAAATGATGTGCCCATGAGGTAATGCATGTGCGAACCATCTCCAGTGAGCCAGTCACTCTGCACACGTATTTCAAAATATCATGCTGCATGTGATAAATACAAGCTGAGCATCTCTAATCTGAAATTTCAAAATCTAAAATGCTCTACAATTTGAAACTTTTAGAGTGCCAACCATGAATGGAAAATTCCACACTGTGAAACTTCATTTCATGCACAAAATCATTAAAAATATCAAGCAAAATCAACTTCCAGTGGTGTATATATGGTGTAGGTAAAATATAAATGAATTTTGTGTTTAGACTCGGGTCCCACCTCCAAGATACCTCATTGTACACATGCAAATATTCCAAAAGATGAGAAGTTCTGGAATCTAAAATGCTCTGGTCCCAAGTGTTTCAGGTTGGGGGTGCTCAGTGTGAACACCGCAACAGGGATATTTTGGGGTGTGTTGATGAGCAGTGCTATAGGCAGGGACAATTTTTTATCGATTAAAAGAAAGAATGCATCACCTGAATCAACACCTCCATACCCACCACCTCTGTTAACCCTGCCAAGCAGAAGAAAGGGACCCGCCTTCTCCCCTGCTGCTTGGGCAAACAGGTGGGATTACCTGTCTAGGCCTGGCCAGCCTCGGCAGGGCCACTGTCAGAGTCGGAGTCAGCCAGGTCTGCTGTGCCTTCAGCCGCAGTCTGACTCCAGCTATCTGACCTGTCTGAGGTGGCATCCTCCTCTCCGACGGTCACCTCCACATAGTCTACAACGCCAGACTCCTCGTTTTCGCTGCCCTGGCCATCTCGGCTGCTGCCCTCTGACCTGTCCAAGGTGGCCTCTGAGGGCTTGGCTGGTAAACAGTCTTTTGCCTGCTCACTGCCCCCTTTCACTCTGGGGCCCAGCTTCTTCAAGTCCTCTTCGCAGAGAGCTTTGGGGTCCTTGTGGTAGTGTGGAACTGCCTCGCTTCCGTTCTTTGGGCTCTCGGCAACTGGTCTCGCTGCTTTCCTCATTACAGTGTCATAGCCATGATCATCTGCAAGGTGCTGTTGCTGGTACTGCTCCACCCACTTTAAGGTTCCAGTTTTTAGCAAGCATCTGTTCTCCTTGAACCAACGCACGATCTCAGTTCGTACCAGGCCGGTCTTGGCTGCTAACTGGTCATACTCCTGGGGAGTCGGCCACTGGGTTCTTGCAAACGTGCTCCTCAGAAGATGAACCTGCTCTTGACTTTGTGTGATTGCTGGTGAGGTGCTGGGGAGAGAGCTGGCTATCTGGGCACTTGTGAGCTGGTCGAGTCGGGACAGGGAGCCATTGGGGGCCACCACATCTGGGCCTTTTCTGCCAGACCCCATGGAATCCAAGACAGCCTGTTCCATGCTGTCCCGAAGCTTCCGCCTCTCCGAGAACCAGGAGTCAATCTCTCTCCTGCTCAGCTTGGTCTCCACCCTTAGCCGATCCAGTTCTGCTTGCGTAGGAAAAGAGCTTTTCAAAAAGCTGTCTTCCAGGATTTTCACCTGACCCTGTGTTTTCTCTTTGAACTTCTGGGGGGCAAAGTCTGGGTATGCGTGGTATGTGCGGCCATGTCTGGAGGCTGCGATGGCCATCTGGTCTTTGGCAAGGGATTCGCTAGTGATGTGGACGATGCCCCTCTGGCACCGATACCGGTGGTCACTGAACCACTTCTTGATCTCACTCCTGGCCAGGCCGGTCACCTCGATGAGTCGGTAGACCTCAGCGTCATCAGGGAACTGACTCTGCAGAAAGCTCGCCTTGAGATGTGCAATCTGTAGCTTGGTCTTCTTGCGGTCACTGGCTGGGGTGGGTGGAGGGTTAGCTGCCTTGGGTGGAGGCTCTGGTACCTGGGCAATGTGTGGGCGCTTGGGCTCAGGGGCCACTTGGGGAGTCACCAAAGGTCTCTTCTGGCCATGGTTGGTCACTCCAGCCACAGTGAGCGTGATAGGGGAGCAGGAGACAGTTGTTGACCCGCTTGTCACCTGAGTCAGCACCAGGCTGGTCTGGCCAAGGATCTGGCATGGCAGAGCTGTCTGGAGGATAGGCTGGGACATTTTGGTGGGGGTCAGCTGGGCGGGCAGCACAGTGATTGTAGGCGGTACTGACTGGATGGTGCCATTGAACATCTTCTTCCGGGCCTCCTCCACCTCCTCCGGGGACCAGCTGATGCCATGCTTTAAGCGCTGGGTGGCGAACCAGATCCTGATATGCTCCTCTGGGTGTTTGGAAGCTGCTGTGAGCCAGGACAATTCAGCCTGGGTTGGGTAAGGGAACTTGTTGAAGGAGTTGATCATGGTGGCATTTGTGTCCAGGGCAGAGTTGTATTTGGTAGTATTCAGTGGCACAGGGACCTTGGGGACAAGGTTGATATTTGGTGGCAGCTGTAGAGAAGGCATGACATGTCCTAATGTGTCCTGGAGGAGCTCCACACCTCCGAGTCTTGAAAGGATCTCAGCTGCATCTGTCACCAGGCGGGCAGTCCCTTCCACATGGTTTTCAGGGATGGCCTCCTCAGGCTTCTTGGGCACCTTCTTGGCATCTGTTTTCGGTTTTCCTGTCTTCATGATGGGGGTTTTACTTACTGAGATCCCAGGATCATGGTCACCACTTCCGAGGCCAGTGGTAGTGATGGACACAACATGGTTGGTGGCCTCGATGGACTGCTCCAAGATAGTTTGATTATTGCGCTTGATTAACTTCAGCTTGAAGTTGGTCTCCCCTGGATGGAACTTGGAGTTGTGGTCAGACAAGGAGTCGTACTTTTTGGTTGTGAAGTTACATTCAGCACACACGTAGAGGGGGTTGAGAATCACATTGGGGTGCTGCATGTCCACGTGTTCTGTGAACTCGTTCAGGTTTTGTGTGGAGTAGGGGCAGTATTTGCACTCATAGCCACCTTGAAGTTTTTTGGACTGGTTTTCCCCAGTGGATTTCACCTCTATCACTTCATTTTCTTTGGAAGAGCTTTCAGGTTCTGCTGTCCAACTGTCCTTGGCCGCATCGGACAGTGGCATGGCCATTCCTTTTTCTTTGGCCCTATCTCCCTCCTCTGGCACATCTTTTTCTATCACTTGTGATGTCCGAACCATGCACGGAGTTGTGGATTTTCGTTTGCTTGCCATGCTGCCTGTCTGGGCAATGGCTTATTTTTAGAGAGGGTGGAGGGGTGGCGGCAGGGAACTTCTTGGAGAAAACAGGATAAAAGGCTTTTGGCTTTATTCCCCCTCAAATGGCTTTGGCTTCCCTTGAATGCTCAAGTCTCCGGCTGGAGTTTTCAAAATGATTTCAGCACAGAAAATCGCAACTGTATCAATTGCTAAACATACCAGGCAGCGTCATATCTGTGGGACAAGGAGAAAGACAGAATCAGTGCCTCTTCATAACGCAGAAGAAACAAGCCTTTCTTTTTGAGCTGCCCCCATGACCCATCCCAGTGGGCACCCAAATCAAACAGTTCCACAGGTCCAGGTGCGAGTGGATGCTTCTGAACATGAAGAGTCTCCTTCTTTCCCTCCTTTTCTGGGCAGTGGGAATGGCCCCCAGCAGCAAGCAAGACTGCGGGGAGAGGGGGAGATGACTCTATGTTCCGAGACAAAAAGATGCAGAAAGGGAACACAGGCTCTAAGATCTTCTAATGGGGAGGGTGGGGGGCAGGAGGTGGGCAGTAAAGGGGGGCAGTGAAGGGGATGTGGCTGATGGGTGTCGCTCTTGGGCTTGCAGGCTGCTTCTCACTTGTGGTACCTCAGAAGCCAGACCAATGCTCACCTGGGGCCAGCAAGTAGGGTTCTGTGGGCATTAGAAGGGAACATGGACGTGTTGCTACTGATCATAAAAGCAAAATCACTACAGAAAATCCAGAAAATGCAGAACTTATAAAGGAAAATAAAAGCAATCACTCTACATTTTGGAGTTTCATTTTATTTAACAGTGCCCCCTTTCCATAAATACTGAACAAAATGATGATTTAGAAAATGGCAGCATGTTATATTACATTGTAAGGATATACCATGCATAATATATGCAGCCATTCAACGTTTCTTGGATGTCTATTTAGAATTGTTGGCTCTTAACAAAATTGCAGTGAACGCCTTTAGTCCTTATTTCTGAAAAGGGTCCTTGGACAAAGGCCTGGAAATGGCCCTCCTGTCTCATATGACCAAATTTTGGCCGCAACTGGCCCTTCCTCTAGCAGCATGAGAGAGGGTCCAGCTTCCTACCCATTTCCATAAACTATCACCTTTGGAAGGCCTTGCCAGAGCCAGAGTGACAGCACACATCTTGCCGGGGCAGCAGGGTCACAGTTTGAGGCCACCCTCGAAGGGTAGCTTTAGAGAGGCTACAACTTAGGGAGACCCTGTCTCAAATAAAAAGTAATGATCTACAGTCCCATCCTTTTGTTTCTTCTCCAGGGAGTCAGGAGCGGTGAGATCCAATCAGACTGCTCACGGTCCCTGCGTGCACAGAGCCCTCCCACCCCTCTCCAACAGCGCCTATGCCCTTGGTTCCTGGCCCTGTGCTTCTCCCTCCTTTGCTCCTGCCGCCACTTCCCGGCCAGTACTGCTTTTGGCCCAGGCCAGTGCAGTCCAGCCGGAGCTCCTCTGGGACAAGCCTGTCCTGACCACTGCCCCTCCACACGAGGACGCCTTTCCTGGCCACGCTCCAGCTCTTCCTCTGCCTTGCTTTCTCCAAAGCATGCTTATAGCTGACATTCCACTATCTGTTTTGTGGCTAAAGGAGGAGGGGGCATCTCTTCACTCCTTTATTTCTTGTCTCTCCCCCCAGAATTGTGCTGCCCCCTGTGGCAGCCACCAGCCATGCATGGTTCTTTGAATTTAAATGAACTGAAATGAAGTCAAATTAAATATGCAGGTCCTCGGTCATACTAGCCATGCTCAACAGCATGGCTGTTCTGATGCTCAACAGCCAAACGCAGGCTGTTATACTAAACAGGGTGAGACCTCTCCATCCTTGTTGGAAGTTCTAGTAAACAATGCTGAGCTAGAATATGGACTCTGTCAGGGAAGAAAGCTTCCAGTGCAGCTTCCCCAGAGCCTAGAACAGAGCCTTGCCCACAGTCTGCTCAGACTGCTTCCCATAAGCATTGTCTGCATATGAAGCTACCTACAGGTGGGGACTGCAGCTCACAGAGCATGCTGAGGTATGGTGAAACACCTTTTGAATGTTCAGGGGTGCATGTGCATGTGTGTGAGTGTGCTGGGGTTATACGTGCAGAGGAATGCTGTAAAAGGAAGATCCTAAGGTTCTGTGTGAGGGACTACTGACAGAGAACGTGGTTAAATGTGCACATACTGGCCAAGAGGTCTGGGGTGTCTGAGTTAGAATTTGAGAGAGAGAGAGAGAGAGAGGGCAAAAAGACTCCATTCCTGCAGGAATGGGTGCTGGGGAGAGACCTTTCTTATAGAAAATTCCCAAATCCAGAATATTCTAACCTGTTAAAAGTGGGCCAAAGAGATAAGGTCAAATTGTGTGGAGCCTCTCTAGGTTCCAATAACTGTGGTTCAAACCCACGAGTCTCTTCCAAAATTTACTCAGCAGCCTGGCATCCAAACTGGGGTGGATTAAGAGGAAGCAAAGAGAAGAGAAAGAAGCAAACAAGAGAGGGCTCTTGGAGCCTCTGAAGGATCCATCTCTGAGAGCCCGCGGGAGGACCTTCAAGAAGTCTTCCTGCTGGAGCACAGTCCTGCCACGACAAGGGGTGAAGTGTCCGTGGTGCAGAACACGCTGGCCTCTGGCTGCTGTCCTCTTGCTGTGAGCCACCAGCAAGGTCAGGCCTGCTACCAGCGTGATGCTTCATGTGCTTTGAGCAGTCTTCTGGTTCCGATGTGCACTGGTCAAAGTTGGCAACAATAAAAAGTGAACAAATGAAATATATTGTAGGACTAAGTTCCAACGTCCTTTCCAGTTGGGTAGCAAATGGCCTGATGGGTTGGCTACAAGTTGTGGGTCTTGTACCCAGCCAGCTTCCCACAGGTCTGACCTGTACAGGCACAGTAATGCCAACTTGAAGAAGCCTCACTCACTCCAAGGGATCAGCAGGGTGTGATGTCCCTGTCCTCAGGGGGTTGCCCGAGCCAGCCAGAACAAAGCACACTGGAGTTCCAAGTCCTGCTGCCTAGGGGAGGTGGGGTAAGAGTTTCCTTCGTGAGGACCCTTCCCCATCTGCCCCTTTCTGGTGGGGGTCTCAGCAGCCTTCAGGATAACCAGGAGTGTGGCAGGGATGCGTTACACAGAAAGGAGCCGAACCACCTACGATACTCTTTCCTTCTCTGTATGTTGCCGACACTGACTCAGTTTCTGTTTTACCCACTATGACAGTTCCCGTGTGCCTGAAAGAAACCCTACCATGAATAAGAAAGGACAAAATCTTGGAGTGCAGAATATAAAGGGAAAATGACATGGGCAGATGTAGTTCTGGCACTGAGGACCCGGATGTGGACAGACAGACAGAAGTCACTGCTCTTGGAGAGCTTATTATGGAAAAGAGCCAAGCAGGGAAGACGGGAGAGGGCTGGAGTGGGGGATGACGGGGACTCCAAGCACAGCAGTCAGGGCCTGCTCTCCGTGATGGGGGACAGAGGAGCATCTGGATGTTGTGGTGCTAACAGTTTATAAAGCACAGGGTAGTCAGTATTCATTTTGCAGGGCAGGGTGGATACAAGTGTCACAGGGGAGGCAATGTTCCTCTTCTTGGAAACCCAATTGTGACAACTGCTGCTGATGACAATTCTCCATAATCTCTTGAGGAGTCTATTTCAACTCTGAAAAGCAAGTGTGATTAGCCTCAATCTGCCAACAAAAGGACCCAGACCAAGCAAGATACAAAGTCAGCACTCAAAAATCAATATCCTTCCTGTACACAAATAACAAACTCACTGAGAGAGAAATAAAGGAAACAATACCTTTCACAGTAGTATCAAGAAAAATGAAATATCTAGGAATCAGTCTAATGAAGGAAATAAAGGCCTTTACATTGAAAACTACAGTACTCTGAAAAAGGAGATCCAAGAGGATATCAGAAAATGGAAAGATATTCCTTGTTTTTGGATGGGAAGAACCAATATAGTGAAAATGGCCATACTTCTAAAATTGTTATACAGATTTAATGCAACCCAGATCAAAATACCAACAGCATACTTCACAGAATTAGAGAAAACAATCCTAAAATTCATTTGGAACCGGAAGAGACCTAGAATAGACAAAGCAATTCTGGGAACAAAGGCAAGGCAGGGGGCATCACAATCCTCAATTTGAAATGATATTATAAAGCTACTGTGATAAAAACAGCACATTACTGGCAAAAAACCCCTGCAAAACAAACACCAACCAACCAGCCAAACAAATCAAAACAGACAAACAAAAAAAACAGACCCAAGGATCAGTGGACCAGATTAGAAGATGTAGAAACAATCCAAGCACACTCAGCCACCTTATCTTTGACAAAGGAGCCAAAAATCTTCACTGGAAGAAAGACAGCCTCTTTAATAAATGGTGCTGGAAAAACTGGCTCTCCATATGCTGAAGACTGAAACTAGACCTATATATTTCACCATGCACTAAACTAAAATTGAAATGGATCAAAGACCTAAATATTAAAGCAGAAATACTTACTCTGCTGGAAGACAGAATAGGTAAAACTCTTGAAAACATAGATGTAGGCAAAGACTTTATGAACAAAACCCCGATTGTACAGGAAATATTACAAAGAATCAGTAACTGGGATCACATCATATTAAAAAGCTTTTGCACAGCAAAAGAAACCACCAACAGACTGAAGACACAACCCATAGAATGGAAAAAAGTTTTTACCAGCTACCCCTTAAAGAACTACTCTCCAGAATATATAAAGAACTCAAAAAAATCAGACCCCTCCCAAATGTAAAGACCCAATCTGTCTTAGTTACTTTTCTGTCATTGCTGAAATGAAATACCTGATGTCCAACATTAAGAAAGGAAGGATTTAGTTAGCTCACAGTTTGTGGAGGTTTCAGTCCATAATCAGCTGGCTCCCAAGCAGGGTGGCCTGGCAGAAGACAGCAAAGGCAACAAGAGCAAAAAGGGGAGAGAGCAAGCCTCTTTTCCACCCTTATACATTTAAGCAGGCTACCTCCCCCTCAAGGCTAGCGCAGCACTCACACCATCTTCATGCGCTCCTCTTGCACAGGATCAGGATATTTACAAAGTGAGGACCCTGGCCCCCTGCTGAGTGCTTAGCTAAACTTCTAAACTTCTCAAGTTGACACAATGTATCAACCACCAACAGACCAAAGAGGTAGCCCACAGAATGGGAAAAAATTTTTACTAGCTCCTACTCCTGTAAGAGCTACTATCTAGAATATATGAAGAACTCAAAAAAATCAGATCCCCCAAATGTAAAGACCCCATCAAGAAATGGGGATCTGAAATAAATAGACAGTTCTCAGATAAAGAAGTAGACACAGTAAATAAATATATTAAAAAATGCTCAACATCACTGGTCATTCAAGAGACACAAATTAAAACAAGGCTGAGAGTCCTTCTCACCACAGAAGAATGGCTCTCATCAAGAAATCAACCAAAAACAAATGCTGGCGGGGTTGTGGGGAAAAAGAACCCTTCTCTACTGTTGGTGGGAGTGTTGACTAGTGCAACCACTGTGGAAATCAGTGTGAAAATTCCTCAGAAAAACTAGGACTAGAAGTTCCATTTGACCCAGCTATTCCCCTTCTAGGTATATTCCCAAAAGAGTTGAAAGTATCACATCCCAGCAACACATGTGCACTCATGTTTATAGCAGCATAGTTTGTAATAGCTACATCTTGGAAACAGCCCAAATGCCCACTAAGTGAAGGATAAAGAGAATGTGGTTTTTTTATACAATGGAGTGCTACTCTGCCATAAAGAAGGATAAACTGGAGACATTTTTAGTTAAATGGGTGCACCTTGAGACCATACTTTTAAGTGAAATAAATCAGACACACGTGTAAATACTGTGTAGTTTCTCTTGTGTGGGAAACTGCAAGTGTAAATAAGGACCAAAATGTATAATGTGCATTGGGAAATGGGAAGAAAATGTTCAGGTGGGAAGGAGGAGCGGGGGAAGAATGAGGATAAAAAGTTTTTAAAAGAATGGGAGGGAAACAACAGAAACTGAGTTTTATAAAGGGAAAGGGGAAGAAGGATTGAAGGGAAGCGGGGGGAATGGGGAAAAAAGAATTAAGATGCATCATGTACAGCTACAAATCCCCTAGGACGAATGTGATTGTTATGTATATCAAAAGTGTATCAATAAAATTCATTTTAAAAAAGAATAAATAAGTGGATTTATCTAATATATAAATTGGGTTCACAAACCAAAATATAGAACCAAGTGCAGGGAGGGAAGCAGCTGGCTAAGGCCAGGCTGGCTCATGGGGCAGAGAGGTGCTCTCCGAGGGGAGGGGCTTGAGAAGGAGGAGGGTGCCTCCACTGGGGAGCCCCGCTTCCCAGGCAGAGCGGACAGGGGCTGGGCCACAGGGCTGAGGCCGTTGGAGGTTGGTGCAGCAAAGTCAATGCAGCAACAATGCGGGGCGGCCTCAGGCCGGGCCAGGAGCTTCCTTCTGTGCTTTGGGCAGTGGGGGTCTCCGAGGTTGGGGCTGCTGAGACAGCTTCCCGCCAGTCTCCAGTCTCTGCTTTAGATCCATGATGAGGCTCACTTCTCACCTAGAACTTCTTTCACTCATTGTGGGTTTTCCTTCCCTACCCAGGAGTGGCTGGGTGTTTTGGGCTTAAACGTGGCAACACCAACTCTGCTTCCCTTGTGTCCCAGACCAGAGAGCTCACCTGCCCTGGGGGCTTAGTGTATGCGAAGTGTGGATTTAGAACCTCAGAGAGGTTAAGAAGCTTGGTCAAGGTTACCCAGCTTCAAACTGGGATATGAACTTCAGGGACAGACAAACCCCTTTGGGGATTTTGTTAAAGTGCAGAACGAGTCAGTGGGTCTGGAGCAAAGCCTGCTTCTGCGGTCTCCCACAGCCCCAGGTGAGGGTGAGGACACACTCTCCATCTTCCTGGGAAGCACCCTTCCCTGTCCTGGCCCTGCCTTCCAAGTGGCTTGCAGGCCCTCAGGTCAGGAAAAAGGGGTCAAACCATGAGCACCCTCAACTCCTCTCTGGATGGCTGACACCATTCCTGCTGTCAGCATGAGGGACTCAGCCAGGTTCCTGACCCCGGGGTTGGTGTCTGGGGAGGTGGGGAAACTGTGGGTCTCTAGCCTGGGGAGCAGGGGAGTGTGGCGGTCACAGGGGGCTGCAGAGCCTGGGGTGTCAGCTGGGAGCCTTCGCCTGTGCTGCTGGTGCTCAGGGAAATCACACCTTGAGGCTTTGACAGGACGCCACTTCTCATTTCAGAGCTTTTCACTGGGCTGTCAGAGGGAATAACAGGGCTGTCTCGGAGCTTTCAAAGGAAGCATCCTGTCAAGACATCAAAGCCCAAAAGGATGCTTTTAGCTTTGCGGGGTCTGTCGACAGAGCTGCTAACAGACTCCACGTCGGTTAACTCAGGGTAGACCTTTTATGAGGGGAGGGAGCACATCGCTTTGTGTGAAAAAACCACAACCCACTCCCCCCAGGAGTTCTGGAGACAGGCGTGGTAGGGGACAAGGTAGATGGGGCAGGGTGGGGTCTCCTGGAAAGTGGAGGTACTGGGTTCCTTTCCAAGCCCCAGCTCTCTTCTTTGTCTCTGTCCTTGCTGCCATTTTCCTCATCTGTTTAACAGGAATTGTTCTGGAAAGGTCATTGGTGTTCTTGGGGGATTTCCTGAGCTTTATGCTTTCTCCCCATCTGACCATAAATCTAAATTTGAATTTTGAGGGTGAGCTTGCAGCATGGCTCGCAAACCATCGCACATCAGCCAGGTGTTTGGCAGAAAGAGCAGTGCCTAATCTCCTGTCCACACTTATTAAACCCAAACTTTTAGGCCCAGGGCCCTGTGCTTCTGAGAGCAGCCCCACGATCCTGCGCACAGCCAGCGTGGTGGGCCTGGCACTTGGGCATCGTTGGCTTCTTCCGTGTAGAGCTGGGGGTGCAGACGCCGCCCCAGCCCAGCGAAGATGCCATGCTTCATGTGTGTTACACGGGGACACCAATAGCAGCCCAAACTCCTGGTCGCTGGGGTGGAACCCTGTCCTCCCAAGGCGAGTGGCAGGCAAGTTGCAAGACGATGCAGGCATGGGGAGGCACCACACAAACCATGACCTTGGAAAGGGCAGGACTCAGGACACGGGGTGCTCGGTGGCAATGGATCACACATGTGACTACAGTGACGCCCGCTTCACGGAGCTGGTGGATCGGTGCAGTCGTGCGCTGAGAAGCTGCTTCCTGTTGTCTGTGTTTGTGTTTAACATCTTGTGCTGAGCTGTTCAGACAACACACTTTGAAGAGGAAAGGGGGCTGGCTGCTCTGGTTGAGTGTAGGCAGGGTAATAGAGTAAAAAGGTGTTTACATGCATCCTCTTTATTCTGCCCGCAGCGGCAACTGATGGCCATAATCTCTATTTTAAGATGAAACTGGGGAGGCGGCGCCCAGACAGTCCTGGCTGCACAGGCACTGCTGGGCCCTGGGACAACAGCTGTCCACTGTTAGCAATTCCCTTTCCCCATCCTGGGCCTATGAATTAGATTTCTCACAAATTCCAAGTGGCCTTTCCCCTCGGGGATGTTCAGAGGATATGGTTTTCACTGAATGGTGATGTCTTTTTCAGTGTGCTGCTTTGAGATGCTCTCTCGTTAGGCAGTGCAAATCTGCCCTGGTCCCTTCTTGCTCAGGAGTTGCAGTGGCTGAATGAAGTCTGTGCTGCTCCACCTAGCCTGCTACATCAGCGGTGCCGTGGATTTGGGTGACACTGGGCTCAGAGAGGATGTCG